TTGACGTTTATTTTGGTCGCAGTTCGAAATATCAATTCACGTGAGAGGCAGCAGTACAGTAGGTAACTTCCGAGGTGAAGTGTAAAAAACTAACCGTCTGTTCCATAAAACTCCTTGTACATTAGAACTTTTTACCGGGTTAACCTACTTTATGAGGATTTATTTGACATATATGCAAAGAAAATGACAATTGAAACCCACTGGGTTAACGAAATCCGGTTAAATGTAAACGTACTATAACATACCCGTATACTTCTTCATAAATTATTTTTTATTAGGTGTTTATAATGATTTTTTTAACGTCATATAAATAAAAACCAAGAATTTGTGTTTATATTTTTGCAACTTTCTATGCGAAGAAGAGCAAAAAAAACAGAGAAAGGAAATGCATATTTTCATAACAAAATAATTATCTATTTTTAGTAAATTATTATTTAAATTGTTTATAATCTTCCAAAAAAGAAACAGAAGAAAAAATATAGTATTTAGTTGGTGTATACAATTAACCATCCAAAGGTGAATGTATTCCAGCAGGTCTAGTTGAAATTTGGTGTGTTTCATTTTTTCACTCCATCGACAAATTGTGGTTTCTGTTTATTGTCAAAAATATAGGAATTCAAAACAATTTACCGCACATGCCATAATATACATTTCAATTGCATGCCTACTTAATGGTTAATTAAAATTCTAAATAATATTTTCCAATAGATAAGGTGCTAAATTACAATTTTTGAATTAAACTCTTCTGATACAAAATAAGCATTTTTTTCTTCATTTGAAAATTTTAACACTTCTCAATTTGCAAAATTTTATTTTATCCAAAAAATTTAGTAAATAAATTTCTTTAAACATTTTTAAATGTTTTTGCATTTGCTCCTGTTTGTGGGCTTCTAAACGCCCACTAACCGATTGCCTTGTTTTGGTACTTAAATTATACTACAACAACAACAACAAGAAATACCATGAAAATGATTTAAATAAATATTTTTGCAGTAATTTCTTTTAATTATACATGAACTTGCTAGTATTTGTTGTTGTTGTTGCTGTCTTAAGTAAATATACAAAAGGCACAGCAACAACAATAAGACATAACAATAAACATAATCAATTCGATTTTAGCCATTAGGAGCCAATGCTATATAGCCTCATGATCACATATCTAATTGCATTTAAATGAAGTTAGGCGCCTGATACAAAAATAGACAATGACATGGCGAATATCGAGATGTGTTTTTCTTTTTATTTTTGTTAATGAGAATATAAACAATTTAGTGTAATTTGTAGTTTAATTTAAAGGTAATATACCCACCTGTCATATGAAAGAATTTTCATGGAAATTGTCTTTAAAATTATTTAAAATAAATATATTTGAATTTCTTGGAATTATGAATTAGCCACCATTTAAAATATGTGTACACTTCCGGTCTATTTATAAACTCCCACTAATGTGTATGTTAATATTGTGTATGTTAATAAAAAATCAACACTCAATATCGTCTAACATCTCAATTATATTAGTTCTGATTCGAAACTTGCAACACTAATGAGTCTAGTAAAAAATACAATATTGTATAGAGTTACCTAGGAATGTCATCTTCCGTACATCTAAATTTGACATTATTACTACCCACATCATTTTCAAATATAACTCAAAACATCACAATTTATTTGTAATTGGTAAATTCTTTTACAATTGTAATTCGAGAATTTAATTTGCAATTCAAAATTATTCTATTTAAAATTCGGAAGTAATTTAAATAATTCCATTGGTTATTCAAATAATTCCATTTGTTATTCAAATAATTCCATTTGTAATTCAAATGATTTCATTTGTAATTCAAATAATCCCATTTGTAATTCAAATGATTCCATTTGTAATTCAAATAATTCCATTTGTAAAAAAACATTAAAATAATTCCATTTGTAATACAAAACATTAAAAGAATTTTTATTATACCCTACACAACAATGTTGTCAGGGTATTATAGCTTTGTGTTGCCACAGGAGTTTGTAACGCCGTCCGTCCGTCCCTCCGTCCGTCCATTATAATTTGTAAACACGATACAGTCCACAGTTATGGACCAATCTTCGCGAAATTTTGCATGTAGGATGGGTTCTGGCCAATGAAGACCCCTATTGCTTTTCGTAAAGATCGGTTAATATTTAGTGCATGAAATGGACCAAATACTTAATTTTTTCGGTTTTTCTGAACGCTACAGAGGCCGCAATTATGGCCCAAACATAGCGAATTGTTACATGGAGAAGAGGATCGGGCCAAAGAATAAGCATACCAGTTTTGCTAAAGATCGGCCAATATTCAGTGGGTAAAATGGACCCTGACTTTTGTGTGAAAAATTACAAAATTTGTATTCTATGGCATATATATTTACACCTGAATGACATAGACCAGAGAAGTTGATAGTACATCCAAGAGGAGTGGTTGACCTTTAAATTGATACCAATTATATTGTCGTATGTACTCGGATGTGGGAGTTACACGTAAATATTTATAGGTGCTTACGTATTCAGATATTATTTAGTAAACCATTATCACACTACCGCTGGTCGCTTTGAAATTTTGCATGATAATCCAGGTATGGTCAAGGACAATGCCTATAACTTTCGGTGATTATCAGATAATAACATTGGGATGAAGTGGATTGAAAACTTAATTTTTTGTGGTTTTTTCGAGTCGATCTATAGACCAAAAAAACACCACAACAAAATCCACGGTGAAGGGAATTTGGACAAGTAATTAGAATATGAATGAATATTAGTAATATTTGTTGACCTCTAGTCGGTCAAGAGTGCAAATATCGGGAAATATTTTCCATGCTCAGAATATAGAACCACAGAAAGTTAGATTTTCGTGGAAGTTGTGTAGGGTATCATATGGTCGGCCCCGTCCGACTATACTGCTCCGCTCACTGGTTTTATATATTGAATTTTTCGATTTATATCGAAATAATTTGCAATATACATATGCGAATTTTAATTACACGCTAAGAGTGTCTGAAATAAACAAACAATAGAATGCAAAAGTAACCGCAATCGGGTGAGTGGTTGCGGTCCGCGGTTGATAGCCATAATATTATTAGTCAAATAATCTCGAATTCATAGAAGATCAGTAGAAATCTGTAACACATAGCAAATCTCTTTTATCTACAATATGTATAGAGGAACTTAAGAAGGTAGTTTGTTCACAAAAGATTTTTTTGAATGGCTATATAGGTCATGCATTCTAAGGATTATCTGTATGAAAAGCATATCTATAAAAGGTTTCGTCTCATATTAACATATTTAGATATTTTTTTTCTAAATAAGAACACTCACTAACATTAGTTTTTTGGTAGATATTCGATACGGCTCTTTTATGTACACATTCCATTAAATGGAAGTACGAATTGTCCTTTTCCGAAAAAAAATCTGAAACCCCTCTCGAAGTATTCTGTAATTGTAGATGGGTTTCTTCTAATCCACTTTTAGTTGTTTTATATATCTTGGCTTTTCAATATTTTGAGGCAAGTTTCTCTGTAATTTCGTATTTATTTTTTCCCGATTATAAACAATCTACTAACAGATAATTTACAATTATATAGTCCACATATAAAACTTTCCTACGATTTTAGGTATTTGCACCTTATGTGTAAAGTATCAAATTTCGGCTTGATCGAACTTAACGATTTTCATTCTGAAAATCTCTGCTGCCGAATCACAGAACGTCATTTTTGCATGTATTCAGTAAGTAAGAAATTTCTGAAAATGCCCGAATAGACATTTATCGAAAGAATCAAATCAGTACAAATCAGTTTTTAAATAAATGTACAAAAAATAATCGGTTATTGAACTGAATTTTCTTTAGATATGTATGGTATGTACAAGTTTCAAATATTATTTTTGTTGTCATTCATGAAATATGCACACATACACACTACACAAGTTTATTTTTGGTATTAATGATTGTTTTTTTCATTTGCTTCTTTGATTGCACACAGCAGAAGAGACATCGATCGGAATGTCGGCTCGCTCATAAAAGGCCCAAGAAGAAGACACAACAAACATCGCCGCGGTATAACCCAATGTAGGATGAGTCAATTGTTGATTCACAAGATAAAAAGGCGGAGGGAGACAGGGTAGGCGAGAGGCTGCTAACGACATGATCGATGAATATTTAATAGAAGATACAAGCTGACAACAACAAACACAAAACACGATACGATGAATAAAAATTTGTGAAAGAATTTCACAAAAAAAAAAAAAAACATAAAACTTTTCACAATGCAGGAAAATTATAAGATGATAAATGTTAAAGAAATGTGGGAAAACCAAATTTTGCTCTCAGCGGATTTTCCCGCAAAGAGCAAATTTTTTATTTGTTATAAATGATATTCACTTTATATATATATATATATAAAAAAAATCATATTGCAATTTTTTAGTTTGACCCCAATCGCAAATATAAATACACAAAAAGAGCACACAAATTCAAAATTCTTTTTAAATACTTCGTTGACATGAATTCCAAAAACAAACGAGAGATGTTGCAGAACGTGTAAATTTTACAAGAAAATTAACACCATTTAATTTTTTTAAATAAAATATTATAATTTTCACATTACACCAACATTATTTTGCTATATAAATATGTATATCAATTGTATATATTTATGTATATAAAGAGACATGTTTGCTATTGTATAAAACAAATTAGAAATGCGGAAATTCCAGATTAAAAATCCCACTTCACAGCCACAGTCACACTCACTCGTATACCACCATTTAATTTCGCATTTATGGCAACAAAACCACCAAACAGACATACACACACACATTTACCACGTGCTTCAAAAAAAGTGTTGGCAAAATTTTTTACACGTGTTATAAAACATTTTTGCTAATATTTGCATATTTTCCGCGAAGGTGTTTTAATTTTCTACAATTTACAAATAAATGCATTCACATTGTTGTTGTTTTTGTGCATCTCTTTAGCCACTTTTTACCTCAGAACTTCAGAAGTTGAATACAACCGATCGAATCGATCCTCAACCGGACACACACGCACACGTTTCGACGTCAAGAGAGCACGTACTGAACTGAAACATTTTCATTCAAATTGAACGACGAACCGAACTGAGTCCATAAACCATATAAACGCTGTACAACACAAGTTGTTGAGAAGCTAAGTTGCGGAGCAGAGCGAAGTGTAGCGTAGATCCCACAGACAGACTATCTCACATTGAATTGAGTTGAGTGTGGAAACGATGTTGACAACTTGGTGACATTTCTTCTTAAATGTTTTCAAATTAAAAAAAAAAAACTTAAAGAAATATTAAAAAATACTTTTTAATAAAGCTTTGAACGAAATTTTTGAGTTTTTTGTGGAAACGTTTGATTTCAACATGTTGACAAGGTCTTTGAGAGATCTACAGTGGATATTCAATCTATAGAAGACCTAAATAAGGTCATTTATGCATAGAAGAACTAACAAATATAGAATATTTATAGAAAACCTTAGCCTTTTTATCTATAGAAGACCTGTACTTTGTATTCTATCAATGGAATAGAATAGAAGAAAAAAATCCTGTCAAAACATGGTACAATATAAAGGACCCATCATACACAGAAAACCCATCTTACACAAAAAATTTTTCGGATTAACACTTGTTTTTTATGTATTGTATTTGGAATTTATATCGAAATAATTTGGAATATGCATATGAGAATTTTGCAACACGGTAAGAGTGTGTGAAATAAAGAAACAATGGAAGGCAAAACTAACCACAATCGAGTGAAAAGAATACATTTGTTTTTGTCAAAAGTGTGTGAGAGAGAGAGAGAAAATGAGCGCAAATAGTAGTAAAGTTGAGCGAAGTAGAAAAACAGTTGTGATATTAATGAAATGTTTACATTTTTTGAAAAAAAAGTAGTGGCTTCTTATGATTTTAAACATTTTTACTTATATTCTAGGCAAGGTACATGTACAATATCAAAAAACAATTATGAATGAAAATATTCATTAAAGATGTTTTTCTGTGTAGTAAGTAAACAACTTCTTCACAGAAAAGGAATCAATATAGATCCATCCCATTTTAAGCATTTTTATGGTTCTAGATGCAATATTGCAACCGAAGTGCCGGACTACCACTGTACTTTGTCGGTAAACAACTTGTTCTTAGAACATTTTCAATATACGGGTGTGTTCTGGAACTCACATACACTTCACCTCAGAAGTTACCTCCTGTTCTGAATCTCACGTGAATTGAAATTTTCGAACTGCGACAAAAATAAACGCCGACATGGTACTTTGCAAAAAAAGTGTTGCCATACAATATACACTGTATTCGTTTTTAACATTGTTTCTGTTATTTTTAGTAATTTCGTAAATTCTAACGATAATTTTATTATTTTTTAATATTTTATTATTTGCAACATAAAATATATGTACGAAAGATTCTTTAATATCATTAATTTGTTGATTGATTTAAGGGGAACATTTGGTAACCCTATCTTGTACGATCTTTTTGCAAATCAGCTGTTTGTGTCAAGCGAGAGATTCATTCAGAATAAATACAACACAAACCTAAGTATGTTATTAAAATTGGGTTTTTATGACGTTTCATCTTAATTTTATGATTTTAAACATGTTAATCTATCATCATGTGCATTTTTTATTTCAAAAATAATTTTCTTTTATATAGAAAAACATGAATACGCCCGACTCTCACTATGAAAATGTAAGTTTAAGAATACACCTCAAATGGGTGTAAAGTGTGTTACAGAACACCTCGGCGTGTGTTCGATACACTTCTGCCGTTGTAGTGAATGCCAGAACATGCCCGATAGATTCATATTTTTACATAACTCCCATATAAATTTCCGTGGTCTTTTCGGTGTTTTGAAAATCCTGAATGTAACCCATATACCTGTATCCCCATTATTCCGTATTTTGGGAACATTTTCTAAGCAAAATATTTGTTTGGAATTGTGGGTTCTCATAAAGTGGCTAATCTACCCACCAAAAATTACCAGTATTAATCTACTTCTCACGATAGCAACCATATAAAGGAACCTCCGAAAATTTTTGATAGTTTGGAAATATTATTCAACCAAATTGGATGTAATTCGGTATTTTGGATTATCATTGGATAGCAAATCTTCCTACTAAAAATTCGAAATATTGATTTTATTTTTAGGGTAGATCCCATATAATGGTACTTTCCAAATTTCGGTATTTTAGGCATTTTATTCAAAACGAATTGGTGTAATTTGATATTTTGGGTTCATATTGGTTGTCAAATCTCCTTACCAAAAATTAGCAATACCGGTCCACGTTTTGGAAAAATTAGCAATACCGGTCCACGAAAGGAAATTTCTATTAGGGCCCATATGCCGGCATCTCCACAATTTCGGTATTTTTATGTGTTTGCGCTCGTTTTTCAATTTGGGTTCACATTGGGTATCAAATCTTAAAATCTCAAATGATCAACACTGGTTCAAATTTTTAGCTTAGGCCCCATACAACAGTACCTCCCCAATTTCGGAATTTTGGGATGTTTGCACACGTTTTTCAACTGAATTGACTGTAATTTAATATTTTGGTTTCTCATTGGATAGCAAGTCTTGGCAAATAATCCTTACTATCAATATCGGTCCATGATAAGATATACTCCTTAAATACCACCTAATTTTCGTTATTTTGAGGATTTCAGATACGTTTTTCATCCAACTTGGCTCTAAACTGATATTTTGTGTTCTCATATTTTCTTATCAAAACTTATAAATTTCTGTCGATCTTTAGGTATACCTCCCTTCCTTATCTAGGGATTTTGATAGTTCGAGTTGTATGTTCCAGTTGAAGTATCTGTAATTTGCAGTATGTTCAAGGCCCTTGGTCTGTTCTTCCAACCTGAGTGTCTATACTTTGATATTTTGTTTTCTCCTGGCAAAAGTTTGGTCATGGCATAATTAATTATACAAGGTAGTCTCATGCAGTTATATTTTTCCAATTTTATCATAAATCTGCCTTTGACTGTATTCAGCTTTCAAAATTTAAATGAAAATATCTTCTTTCGAAATGTACGCATAACATGTGTTTAGTGGCAAAATCATTATACCCTACACAACTATGTTGCCAGGGTATTATAGCTTTGTGCAGCCCCAAGAGTTTGTAACGCCGCGAAATATTGGTCCTAGACCACCTTTAAGTATACCGATCGTTATATCTCGACTAGTTGAGTTGATCTAGACATGTGTGTCCGTCCGTCCATCTGTCCATTATAATTTGTAAACACGATACAGGCCACAGTTATGGACCAATCTTCACGAAATTTTTAATGTAGAATGGGTTCTGGCCAATGAAGACCCCTATATTTTTTGGTAAAGATCGGTTAATATTTAGGGGATGAAATGGACCAAATACTAAATTTTTGTCGGTTTTTCTGGTCGCTCCAGAGGCCGCAATTATGGCCCAAACATCGCGAATTTTACCGGGAGAAGGGAATAGGGCCAAAGAATAAGCATGCCTGTTTTGATAATGATCGGACCCTGACTTTTGTGTGAAAAATGTCAAAATTTGTCTTCTATAACGTATATATTTACTCTTGAAGGACATTGACCCATAATGTTGATAGTATATCGAAGATGAGTGGTTGTACCGTATGTACCGGGATGTGGGGGTTACACATAAATTTTTACAGGTGGTTACGTATTAATATATTATTTAGTAACCCATTACCACACTAGAGGGCGGAAATATAGAGTTGTTCGCTTTGAAATATTCCATGAGGATCCAGGTATGGTCAAGGCATTGATCAGAAAATAGTTTTGGGATAAGTGGACCGAAAATTTGATTTTTTGTGTAATTTGGAGTCGATCTATAGGCCACAATTGATAGCCGTACTTCACAACACAAAGGGTGAAGGGAATCTGGACAAGTAATTAGAAAGGCTGTACTGAATATTAGTAATTTTTTTTTACCTCTAGCCCGCCAAGAGGGTGCAAATATCGTGAAATATTGCCCATACTCAGAACATAAAGCCACAGGAAGTTAGACTTTCGAGGAAGTTGTGTAGGGTATCATATGGTCGGCCCCGTCCGACTATACTGCTCCTCTCACTGGTTTATATTTATAAATATGTTGAAGTTCCTTGTCTCTAAAACTTATAAATAGAAGTTGTAACAATAATGGTTAAATCTTCAGGAAATATAAAAAATATAAAAAGGTTTGCAATTATCATTTTTTTCAAATGAGACTATCTTTCATAATTATGCCATGCAATTTGCCATGCCCGTCATATAAAAAGTCTCGATCGCTCTTAGTAATGTTGAATGTCCATCACATGGTGAAATAAAAATAGCTCAGCCTAGTCGAATTTACCAAAGTTGTTGCTAGTTTTCAAATACAGTCGAGTGCGCTTATAACGAACACCAGTTATAACGAACTTTCCTTGTAGCGAACAAATTTTCTGGTCCCGAAGTTTTAAGACCGATTTTTCATACAAATCTTTACTTTTATAGCGAATTATGGATATAGCGAACTTTCTTTATAACGAGCTATTTATTCGGTCCCAACTTTCAGTTTTCATTTATTTTAATTCGGTTATAACGAACTTGTTACAAATAAACATAATACTTAACGATGACAATTCGCCCCAAAAATTACTTTTGTATCCTTTGCAAAAAATGTCACGTTCATCAGTGGAAAAGAGAAGCCGCTTAAGCATTTCGGAACTGAAAATATTTTTTCCTGTTTATCCTAGGTTATACCTTACCTTGGGTATTTTTTAATTTTGTAATTAAGCATAGATTTAATTTCCGCTAAATTGACTTTTTTATAAGCGCCAAATTGACAACATCGATTTAAACTAAAACCAATTTTCGAACTGAGATATTGTCTCCCAAAGAGAAGCTTTAAAAGAGAGATTGATTTTTATTTTTCCTTGTTCCCCCTATCATATTCAAACTGCCTCCTCCACACCATACATGGCGCATCATTGTTATCGATTGTTAACAACTACATGCTAACAAATTCGCAGTTCGGAATACAATGAGATTGTCTATTCATTATTATTTTTGGCATTGTTTGATACGCTACTTTGTCTTGACAATGATACGC